CTCGCTGCTCATGGTTGCGGTGATGGTGACTGGGGCCGGCTGCGGCAGCTACGGCTCCTCCCGGGGTGTGATGGTAACTAGGCCGGCGGCGGCGGTGGGGCTGCTCAGGGCTCTCTGGGGTCCGCTCTCCGCTCCCGCTACCGATCGAACTAGCGAGAATGGCGGGACGGGCGGGATAAGCCTTGCGCTCGACCCGCCCTAAGCATCGTTCACTGGCCAGAAGTGCTGTCAATCTTGCCACCTGACCCCAATTCCTGACTTCTATTAGCTAACACTTTATCACTCCTCCACTTTCATTGGGTCTTACGCGGCTAATTTGGTCGACCTACAACCGTTCCTGCCTCCGCCGCCGCCATAGAGACCGGAACTAGAATTAGAGTCACCACGAGAACCATAGAGTACCGAAGAGGACGGGCAGAGAGAACGTGACTTTCACTAGGCTGCAGCCTGGGCAGGACGGCCCACACGTCCAGGATTGTGTCCCGGTGGTAGGAAAGGGACGGCCAAACGCTTGAGCCGGGATTACCCGGCCTGAACCGGAGGCTTGGAAGGGGTCCCGTCGACACCTTAGCCCCATGTGTAAAGGAGGCCTCTCTCCCTTCCTGCTCCAAATATGGTCCGTGTGACCTCAGACCGTTACTGCGGATAGAGCTGTCTTTCTACAATGGCCGTGTTACTCGCAGCACAGCCGAGGTTTTTTCTGGACCAGGCTTAAACGTATGCATTCAAAGAGTGTCCGTTTTCGGCGGAGCAGTCACCTTGGAGGGACCACGCAGGCTTCTCAGGCTGCCACTGCTCGGCATTTTTAGGGCGGAGGGCGGGGCGTACTCCATGGGGACCTGCCTTCCGATCCATCTTACCAAGCATGTAAGGACTGTCTTGTTAGATATTCAAATCTTTTTCTATTGGTCACAAATCAAATTTAATCTCAAATCACGTTTATTGAGCAAGCTAGGCATTTTTTCTTGCATTTTATTCTTAAAACAGCCACGTGAAATAAGGATTACTATCCACGTTTCACAAAAGATCTATAATTGAGGCTGCCACATGCTGTAGCTGAAGTCTTTCGCCTTCATTCGTTGTTTAATAAGCGTCTACTATCTACTGGGAATAGACTAGTGCACCAGGTTCTGCCTTAAATTCAGTCTAGGGATGAAAGCTGAAATTGAAACACCCAACACCACAGCGTTGCAAAAGCACAAAGCAATTTGGGAATGGAGGTAGAAGGCGGTGGAGTGCTGACTCCAGGCACAGGGACGTTGATGCAAAAGCTTAGAGGCAAGAAGAGATAGGGTCTGGGAGAAACGCAAGTAAAGGAGTCCAATAAGACGAGAATGAAGGCATTGGGTTATAGAGGTAGGCAGGGTCAAGCTAGGGGTTTTATTTGAAGTTTATCCTAAGGGCAATAGTGATAAGGGTAATTTAGAGTTGTAAGTAGGGAGTGTCATAATTGTTTTAACGGCTGCTGAGTGGAGAATGGGTTGTAGAGGGGCTAAAATGGAAGTCGGGAAAACAGGCTGGTTCAATCAATAGTCCTTACCCCATCAGTATCATCTAGGCCTGTCAATTCCACTTCCTAAAGGTATCCTAAAAATCTCTAATCCCTTCATTCCTACTGCCTGTTCTCTAGTGTAGGACAGTATCATCTATTGCTTAGAGCACAAGTAAGCAAACTTTCTATAAGGGCCAAATAATACGTATTGGGTTGTCGGAAAAGTCGTGACGCATTTTTGCAAGGAAAAACAGAAAAAAAAAAACTTGTTTGTCATGACTTTTCCGACAACCCCATATTTTAAGCTTTGCAGGCCAGACGATTCTGTTTCAACTACTCAACTTTAGAGCCTGACGGCAGCCATAGACAGTCAGGAAACAAGTTCACCTGTTCCAAACTTTATTTATGGACACTAAAATTTGCAATTCATAGAATTTTTACATGTCACAAAATATTTTTCCTTTTTCAGCTATATAAACATTTAAAAACCATTCTTATTCTTAGCTATATGCCATTGAAAAACCCAGAATGAAGTGGCCTGCCAACTGTAGTTTGCTGATGCCTGGCTTAGGGCTCTGCTATGGCCTCCTAGCCAGTCTATCTCTTTCTTACTCTCTTCCCCACCACAACATTCTGAATGGGGTAAGGATTATTGCACTAGCCTGTTTTCCCTACTTCCATTTTTGTCCCTCTACGTTCTCCACTCAGCAGCCATTAAAAAGTTATGACACTCCCTACTTACAACTCTAAATTACCCTTATCACTATTGCCCTTAGGATAAACTTCAAATAAAACCCCTAGTTTGACCCTGATTATGACAATGTCTTAACTAAAATCTTTCAGTGACTACCACTACTACCCTGAGGATTGTCCACATTCCTCAATGTGGTTTACAAGAGTCTGAATGACTTCTCTAAACTTACCTCCCACTTGTCTTTCACTTCCTTGTCCAACCTACCAGGTGATTTTAGACATTGCTTCCTTTGAGCTATCACATACTATTCCCTCTACTTGTTACACTTCTCTCCCTTCTTCTCCTTTGCCTGCGTAACTTTATCCTTTAGGTCTTGCCTCAGATGTTACTAGGTTACAAGACCCTCCTATTCTAACACTGAATTGCACTAATGAAATCTTCCCAGCCAGACTAGCATTGTACCTGACACACAATATCTTAATAAATTTGTTAAACGAATGAGATGGCATAGAAAAGGGATTGAAGAAGGTACTGGCAGCAGAGAGGTCATCTGCACAACTGCGCCAGTAATCCAGGTGAAAAAGGCTTGCAGCAACAATGTGTATGGAGAGAAGTAGGTGGAATCTAGAGCTGCTATTCATCTGTTCCAGCTCTAGATGACTCTTGACTGCTAAGAAGAAACTGCAAAAGGCAGTTCTGCCAACACTGAGGACATTTAAAAGTATGCCCCTATAGGCTTACAAGCTTTTTCCCAAAGTGGAGTTACAAAGACAACAATGACAGCAGCACCTGAGAATAAGTGTGCAACCTTCCTATGTAACTGCTTTGAAGGGATGGCTTCTCAAGCAGAAATATAAATTCTGTAACACTTGTCTTTACAATGTTACTTAAAAAGTATCATTACTTATCCAATTACTTCACTCCTGCTAAGTGGACATAAAGATGAGCTCTTTTTTTACTAGTTTCCTTGTAGCACCTCTCTACCACTGCAGAGCTGGTACTGAAGCACTGGAGGATAAATGGTTCATGTCAAAATTCATCTGTTCCAAGGTGGGAGCTCTCCACACCACAGTTCAGCTAGTTCCCCCGGCCACCCTGAGCATGCACACTGCCCAGCAAGGTGATCCCAGTTCAGACAACTCCAGTGCCTACCTTTAAAAAGTAATGTGAAAGGCAAAGGGGTTCATTTTAAGAATCTCCTTTGCAAAATAACTTTCACCTTGTTCCCCATCTCTAACACTCTGGCCCAAGAACACAGTTCCCTCTTCCTGGAAAGTCCTCCTCACCTTTATCTCCTGGCTAATTCCAACCAATCTGGCAATATTTACCTCAAATGTTACCTCTTCCTTATTCCTAGTCTCTCTACTCTGCTCCCATAGAATCTTGTACATACCATTATCATTCACACAACAAACGTTTATTAAGCAGTTACTAGATACTTACCTCTTCCAAGTGCTGAGAACATGGTAAAACAAACAAAAAAAAACACCCCAAAACCTGACCAAAATTCCTGTCCTCGTTAGGGCTCACATTCTAATACTCATCACATTGTACTGAAACTGTGCCTATCTCCTGTCACAAGCATGGGCCACATCTTACTCATCTTGCAGCCCCAGTGCCCAGGACAAAGACTGGCATAGAATGCAGGTGCCAAGTGTAACTGAATTTAACTGAATGGCCCATCGCAAGAATGTCAACTCAAATCCCAGCTGCTCATCCTACTTCCTATCTCGAGAATTTCATCCTGTCTGGTTACTTGATCACAGTTTTTCAGTGTGTCCCCTGAACCATGTTTACTTAGCTACAGAGTTGCAAATATCTATACCATAGGGCCCTTGTATACCTCACCATCTCCCTTTGTCCACCAATACACTGAAATGGCACTTTTAACCAGGTTCTGTTGTCATAGGAAGTCAGCT